AGGTTCGGAGGGTTACAGAAGAATTTTGACCAGGGTAGGTTTTTTCTTCTTCAATGACTCAGCCTTGGAACCCCACCCCTTCCCCTTTTTTCTGGGGGGATCAAAAGTTGGTTTTTAATAGGGACTCAGACTTTAGTCGAAGCAATTGTTTTTCCAGGAGCGATGTATGGAAGTGAGAGGTGGACCATCAAGAAGGCTGACCACCGAAGAATGGATGCTTTTGAATTGTGGTGCTGGAGGAGGCTCTTGAGAGTCCCCTGGACTGTAAGGAGAACAAACCGATCCATTCTGAAGGAAATCAACCCTGAGTGCTCACTGGAAGGACAGATCCTGAAGCTGAGGCTCCAATCCTTTGGCCATCTCATGAGAAGAGAAGACTCCCTGGAAAAGACCCTGATGTTAGGAAAGTGTGAAGGCAAGAGGAAAAGGGGACGACAGAGGACGAGATGGCTGGACAGGGTCACCGAAGCGACCAACATGAATTTGACCAAACTCCGTGAGGCAGTGGAAGATGGGAGGGCCTGGCATTTTATCTGGTCCATGGGGTCACGAAGAGTTGGACACAACTTAACAACTAAACAACAACGACTTGGGGTTTGGTACCAGACTTGGGAATTCAGACCCAAAGAGATGCCAGCATCCCAGGCTGCTAGTTATGGGATAGGACGGCCCCCTTGAGTATGAATACAGGTTATCAGGTGTACAGCTTCCACAGGACATCCTACCCACATTTATTGCTTTTTTTCCTCTCCAGAGAGATACTTGCTCCTTCAGACAGAGTTTATTTGGGGCAAAGAGTCCAGTGATGTGAGGCAGCAGCAATTTGTTGCCGAGCCATTAATTGTCCACGGCAGGAGCTGCGGGCAATGTGCTGACGTTGCCAAAATGGCCGAGAGACGGCCTCGCAGAAATAAGTGGATTTCTATACACTCGCTCGGAGCGAGAAAGCCTTATTTCTATATTTGAGGGAATGTTAATAAAGCCATATTTCACTCCCAGCACCCCGAGGCCACAGTCTGCTTGCGCCGTTCAGCACCACTGGTTCCTCCTCCCCCCCCACCTCGCATGTCTGCAATGCTTCCTTCCAAAAATGGGCTTTCCTTTATAGATGTTCAGGGTCAACTGTCCTACAACAGTGCATTTCCCTCCCTGACTTTGGCAGGCTGGATAAACAACATGGACCAAATCCTGCCTCTGGTTTGCTTTTTCCAACTCATATGCCCTGTTTCCCCAAAAATAAGACCTAACCTGAAAATAAGCCCTAGTAGTATTTTTTTCAGGATGCTCATAGTACAAGCCCTACCCCTAAAATAAGCCCCAGTTCAGTGAAATCCCCCCCTCCACCCTTGTGCAGCAATCAGAAGAGGACAGGACTATATTTGAATAAATGTAGATGGTTGTCCATGAAAAAAATAAAACATCCCCTGCAAATAAGCCCTAATGCATTTTTTGGGGGGAGCAAAAATTAATATAAGACCCTGTCTTATTTTTGGGGAGACACGATAGGATACCTCTAATGAAGACAGCCCAAAAATGACAGCAGCTTAACTTCCTTTGACTGGAGCACCCAGATGTTCTTGGACTACAACTCCCAGAAATCCCTGGCTAGCACAGCTTCGCCTGTGTTGTTAGAATGGCTTGTGTTTACCATTTCACGGAGTGGTATTTGTTCCTTTTAAATATTTGTATACATATTATTTTGGGTTTTAAACGTTCCCTTTTAACGATGTAAGCTGCATTTTTTGTTATTGTTTTTCGCTTCCCATGTTGTCTTTCAATGATGTGACCTGCCTTGGGTCCCTTTTCAGGAGAAAGGTGGAATAAAATTATTTCCCATAAAATAAGACTTCTGGAAGTTTTAGTCCGAGAACATCTGGGGATCCAAGATGGGGAACCAGTGCACTATTGCATCCATGGGGTTTCCAGATGTTTTGGTGAACATCTGGGGATCCAAGATTGGGAACCAGTGCACTACTGCATCCATGTGGTTTCCAGATGTTTTGGCCACCATTTCCCATGATCCACAACCACAGGCCATGACGTCCGGAATCAATGTGCAAAACACCTCTAAGGCTAATGCTGGGAGGTTTCTGGGACCCGTGATGAATGCAAGCCAGTGATGCCTTCCCATTTGTACCTTCTTAAGAGATGTTTTTAATGGCGTGAGATATTTAAGGAGCAGTTTTCCCTGATTAGAAAAATACAGAGTAGCAACCTAGGAGGAAAAGCAGTGATGACGGGTGCTTTGTTTGTGAGATTAATTAGCTGAGGAAGAATTGCTTGGTCTTCTCCGTGGGCCCACATGCTCCAGATGGCGATAAAATCACCCAGAGGTTTCCTGCTATTCCGTTTCTACATCAGGGAGGCGAATGATTGATTGTCGTGTCACTGAAAAAGGGAAAGATGAATGCCAGTTGTCTCCCCTGTCCTTAAAATATATAAAATATACAAATGGTTGTGAGTTCCAGATGATGCCTCTATGCTCAGATGAAACATGAAGTCATGATTTTGCACTCTGTGGATGCGTTTGAAGCTCCTCTGCTCCTGAGTAGAGGCTCCGATGTCAGTGACAAAACACATCCTCGGGCAGAGTTGTTTCTTTATGAATGTCAAAGCACTTATTTGAGATGCTGAACCTGCTTGGGATGTTGGACTTATTGCCTTGGAAAGCATCTGTAAAGGTTGGAACAAAACTCGGAGTGGATCCATCATCCCACTTACATTCATTCCAACCACTTGCCCGGTTTCTCCCCTCTTTATGCACATTATTTACACTTTATGCACATTATGCACACCTTGGCCATCTTTGGGCTTTCCATAGAAATCTTGAGACTCACCATGTCATTCCTCCCTCCTTGTGATCAATCAAAGACATGTGAAATAATTGTTCGCCTGCTGGAATGCATGAAACACCTCAATGACAGCAACAGCCAGCATTGGTACAGCGATGACACTGAGCCCCTTTTGCAGAAGCTGTTCATCCGCTCTGGGTTTTTCTCCAAACTTTTAAGGGCATTCTTCAAAGCCTGAAGCCTGCTTGGAGACAGGCTTTGCACCTCATATGGTGCTTGTAATTTCAGGTTCCACATTCCCCGTGAAGTTGCTTCCAATTCTGATTTTATGAAAAATTATGTCTGCAGGCGTATCAGGGTGTTGTTTCATTACTTGAGGCCTTGCCACAAAACTTGGTTTTCTTAAGTTACACAGAATTCCACCAAATTTCTCTGATTTATATAACAATCCCTGTATAAACCAGGGCAAATTAATTTATTCTTTTGAAACAAATGGGAAAGACACGGTGGGGCCGTTTTTTTTGTTTTAGACTCAGAGTTTCAGATGTAAGAATCTCTGGATCAAAAGGGAAACACATACCATTTTTTTAACATACCAAAAAAACTCCTGCAGAACTATTTAAACAACCTTTGGAATTAGGCTCATAGAATGCAAAACATTTGCTCCTCCTTGATTATGTGATTTTCAGTTTGACTGTCCTTCTAAAGCATCAATATACAATCTTATCAGTTCTTACTTTGGAGCAAAATCAGCTGAACCCAACGAGATTTCGGTTCGCCTAAAAGAAGCACACAGATAAAAGGCCAAAATAGCTCAGAAGAAGTTTAAACGCCGATGCTTTGCAAATATATGTGTACAGAAAGGGTGTGGAAATTTTTTGCTTATAAACATAACATTTGGAGTTACAAATGGCACAAAAACAATGAGAGACGCAAGCAGCTCTGTTAGAAAAGGCCCCAAATTCAGATCTGTGGCTGAATTTGATGATCCATATGGCTGAATCTTCACAGCAACACCAAAATATCTATTTGCACTGTTGCGACAGATAGCCATCCTTCACCACCATTCCGTGAGTATGTTAACTATACTGGCTTAAATCCTATTGCTCATCTCCATTAGAGTAGACCCACTGAATACTGGCTTAAATCCTATTGCTCATCTCCTTTAGAATAGACCCATTGAATCAAGGGTTAAATGGCAGGTGGCTGTTTTTCTATCAATTCCTTTGGCCAGTCCCATTTGCTTTCCTCATTGTACAATATTTACAGAATTTTTAAAGCCCTGGAAAATATCAGGAGAAGCAAAAACATGGAATGGAATGTCAATTCTCTCTAAATTAGAGCGTTTTGAACTTCATCAGATTCACGACTGGTGTGAGTGCAATGTACAAAGTTGAACGCAACTCAGCCTTCAAACCAGCAGCCTTCAAAATATTCTCCACACCCTTAACAACTCATCCGTTTGTCTTTGCAACGCTTCACTACAGCGACAATGCCGTGAGAACGTCACAAATCCAGAACCAAAGTATCGCATTTTATTCCAGATGGTAAGAGTAGAAATTACACACACAATATTGAACCTGAATTCTTCCTAAAGGCCTAGCTTTGGGATCTAAACTCTCCTCTTTTCCCAATGCATGGCGAGACACCAATCCTCATCTCCAAAGTCAAACTTTACATCACACCATTATTCACCTCGGCATCAAACAGTTGTAAGTCCCATTTCCGAACATAAACTTCTGTACACATACACACACAGAGAGAGAAAGAGAGGCACACAGACACATAGACACAGACACCGAACATAAACTTCTGTACACATACACACAGAGAGAAAGAGAGACACACAGACACATAGACACAGACATACAATTGGGGGAGCCTGCAGCCTCTTGCAAAATTCACCTCCATCCTAGAAATCCAGGTAGAACAGAACTAACTCTAGACATCCCATCTCAACTAAAATGCTCTCTCCGACAATCACACTGTTCCTTTTCTGCTAGAAAATAATTTTGCACAGCCTTCAGAGCGAAGGGCTGAGCTTTAAGACAAAGCTTCCACCAAGATTCCGGGTTGTTCTTTTTTCTGCTTCTTAGCTGACGGATTTCACGGTTTCAAGCCTACCACGACAGGTGAGCCGAGCCAAGCCAGGTAGGAAGCCTCTTTCTCCCTCTTAAGAAAAAACCTAGAAAATACAGAGTTACCAACCTATCAGAACTTGTCCAGTCCAGGAGTACGCGGCAGCAATCCCTCCCCTGCGCTGCGTAGCTGAGAGGCAGAGTCTTTGAGCATCCTTGCATAGAGGTGAAATTCCTTCGGCTGATTCCCAAAACCCCAAAGGACCAATGGGAAATTCCCTTGTGCTCTGACAGCCGTCTGGGTCTGGAAACTGCCTCTGTGTCTCTGTCTCTCGCTCGCTCGCTTGCTTTGCAAAGGCTTTCCCAGTTGCTGCTAACTAAGGATGAGAAGCTGCCTACTGCAATATCGGAATCGCTTACTGCATTGCTTTGTACAGTGGCGTGAGAGAGTGCCTGGTTTCCAACCCCCCTCTCCAAGCGACACCTGCGTTTTGTGTCAAGCCGACGGGCTCCCCACTCTTTCTATTCAGCAAAATGCACCTCCTGCAGATCCCTGACCACAGTGTTCATGCACCCATCCTGGGTACCATCTTTGGCTCCTCCTAGCCTCCAGCTCCGGTGTCTGCCAACTGAAGAATCCATGGTGGGGGGACCCCCATGCTGTGGCACATTTATCAGACAAAAAAGGAAGACAGCCATGCTGAAAGGAAACAGGGAGGCCGCACGATGTCGTGTAAATTACAATTTTCAAAAATATGACTGTAAATTGGACATTTTTAGCGAGGAAAAGCTGCAGAGGGAACTGATCCAGAAAACTGCTCTCCTTCCTTCCTTCCTTCCTTCCTTCCTTCCTTCCTTCCTTCCGTGTCTTGAGTTTTGTCTGAACCCCCTCATTAGTATGCTAAGAAAGTGCTTATCACATCTTGGCCTGGCTTAGGAAGGGTACTCCTCATGAAGCGTCTTGTGTCAGCTCAGTAGCTTTCACTCCTCCTGGCAAGATTTCCAACTTTGACCTTGACAGGAGCTCTGTGGATGTTGCAACTGCTTCCCCCCCCCAAAAAAATCCTTCTTAATGATTGAAACAAGCCCACGTTGTTCTATTGTGCTCCATCGCCAGGAGAAGACCTCCCCTTTTCCAAGGCACAGAGGACCAACAGAGAGTTAGTTGGGATCAACACAGGGAGGAAGGCCTTGCTGATGGAGCACATCCTTTGTCTGCAGAAGGCCCTGGAAGGTCCGGAGAAACAGGCGTTTCCCAAAAATACCTTGTTGAGAGGTGGCAAGTAACTTTCCCCAGTGCCCCGGCCATCCTGACTGGGCAAAAGGGGGTAGCATGGACTCATGCCATGGAGCTTAGTGGAAGAAGATTTCTAAGGTCACTAAGAACGATCCTGCTCTCTGTGGAGTGTCTTGATTTCCCTGCTTGGCTCAGAATCCACGTACAGTCCGGTGTTCAGTTCTGGGCATCACTGTTTAAGAAGAATATCTACCAAAGGGAATCTATTTCCCGGGGAGACCAGCCAAGCTAATAAAAGGTCTGGAAAGCATCCTCTATCTTGTTTTTCTCCCCTTGTTCTAGAAGGAAGGAGGCAAATAGATTTATATTTTGAAAATGGAGTCCGTGACTAAGCATCAGGAAGAAGATAGCAACAATAAGATATAAGAGTGGGTTTTATTGAGGATTTTAAAACAGAGGTTGTATCACTGTCTGTCGAGGAAGCTTGAATTTCCTGCATCATGGTTTGGACTAGATAGCCTTTGGGTGACCCTCCAGCATTCAATCCTATGGAGTTCAGTGTGAGCTCTCTCTGATTGTACAGTAGGATCCCCATATCCACGGAATCTGTATCTGCTGATTTACTTATCCACGGTCTAAAAATATTAAAAATATGAAGAGAAAAATCCTAGAAATATATCTTCCTAAAGGTGAAGTTTTCAGAACTGACCACTAGAGGGAGAGCAGAGGTCATGCTATGTATAGTGTTCAATCTTAAAATAGAGTTTGCTGTAATCTGCTGTTTTCAGCATCTACGGGGTGCGTAGGTGGGTGGGTGGGTTAGAACTGATACCCTGTGGATACAGGAGTCCTGCTGTAGTTACCTTTTACTAGGCTCCATTAAACTCCTTGATGCCAATACGGCGTTGCACCTGCGTGCTTCTATTTATCTGTGGCCATAAAAACACACTCGTCGTAACCCAGTGAGCTGACAAGCTGTAGCCGTTTTTAAACAGTCTGTTTTCTGAGATTGGTTTTCCCCATCAAGAAATGCCAGCCCTAAATAGATGAAGTGACAGATAAGATCCTTGAAACCGCAGAAATTGACATACTATCAGATTGGCTAGATGCAAAAAAGAAAAAAGACCATCAGAAATTGGGTTGCAATTATATACATGGTTACAAGGCAGATAGAATAGTGGACTGATCCATAGTTATCTGTATGGCTGCAGAAGAGACAGAATAAATGATGGACAAAGACGATCAGGTACATAATCAATAATTAGAATAACAATATATCTGTCTGAATTTGATTTTTTCCCTCTCACTCACTGTTTATATTTCTTTCTGATATGTGGAACTATGACTAGAAGAGAATGTATAGAATTATTATGAAAAATATTGATTTGTAATGTATCCATTCAAATCCACCCCCTCCAAGGTTACCCCTATCCCAGCTGCCCCTTACCTTACCCTATCTTTATAAGAGGGAGAGAGGGAGTCTAAAAATATTAAAAATATGAAGAGAAAAATCCTAGAAATATATCTTCCTAAAGGTGAAGTTGTCAGAAGTGACCACAGCCCTTTGGGAAAACCAATTAATGACAATGGAGAAAATATGAATGAATGAATGAATGAATGAATGCCAGCCCTTTGGGAAAACCAATCAATGACAATGGAGAAAGTAGCTGAACTCAGCTTATTTTCCTTCTTCTTGGGCCTCCTTGGCTCTATTCCTGCTCAAACAGGAAAACTTGAAAGCCTTCTTATCACCTCATTCACTTACCAAACCATACAGTGTTCACCATTACCTTAATCTATTAGGGTAAGTTCCAAAGTTGCACTTCCCAACATTTCAGTTCAGCTACCCTCCTGTAACCCTGTTTTAAGCACTGAATGAGATCCCTCCCCCAGGACTTAAAAAAGGAGAAAATAATATTTTGCACCGATGCTCCTTAAAGGGGTCAGTCTCTCGGCCGAGGACCCCAATCATCAGCACTTCTTGAGTCCTTCCTGCACAGCAGGGAACTTTCCAAATAACCACGTCGTCGTGTTGCACTCCTCCACATGCTGCTTTCCTTCGCACATCAAAACTATTCCAAAAAGTTCACTTCAGTCCTCCTGATGCAAGGCAGTCGTCTGTGTCACAGGCTTCCCTGTGGGAGAAAATGTCAGATACAAATTCCTCATTAATTATGAGCCTTTCATTAGACAGCAGACATTAAAGCAAGAGCCTTTGATGGCTCAGCCCTTTTCTACGGGGTCCTATTATGTAGCAAAGTGCAGGGATAATAAAAGCAGGAGGATGTACAGCCTTGAAGAACGGATCAAAGGGGAGAAAGTTGGTTTCATGGTTTAGAAACCTAGGAAGATGATTTAAGTCCAATCCAGGGTCTACCTTGCTGAGAATTATCTGGTCTGACTGACAGCAATGGCTGCCCATTAATGGCCTTGCTCCTGTCTTGCAACCCCAAGACTGCAGCTTCTTTTACTGAGTCCATCCATCTCATTTTTAGACCTTCCTCTTTCTCAACTGCCTTCCACTTTCCTTAGCATTATAGCCTTTTCCATTGCATATTGTCTTATCTCGGTAATTTTTGTTCTTTGGCCATATTTCATATCCCAGTGATCTAGGACCTTTTTTTTTTTTTTTTTTTTTTTGTCTTTCACTCAGTCAGTAGTATCCAGAGCTGTCTGGATAGCTCAGTGGTTTGGGTGTCTGGCTGCAGACCTACAGGTTGGGAGTTCGATTCCCCACTTCCTGGGCCTTCTGGGAGAAGAGCCAGCCTAGGTAGCCTTGGGCAAGCTGCACAGTCTCACAGCACCCCTAGTGGAAAGAAATGGTAATACACGTCTGAGTACTCTCTACCTGGAAAATCCATGAAAGGGTCTCCATGAATCAGAATTTACTTGGTTGCACACAGGATCATAAGTAGATCAAAGGTTTGACGTAGTTTTGTAATGCTTCCTCTGTTCTTGTGCTGTTGTGATCCAAATGAACGAAACAAATAAGATGATCAGAGGTAGAATAGTAGCTGGGCTCTTAAGCATGTAAAGACAATATTTTGTTGTATATTTTGCTCATGCGTGCTTAAGCATGTAAAGACAATATTTTGTTGCATATTTTGCTCATGCGTGCATGTGTTCTTTCCTTCCTTCCTTCCTTCCAAAATATTTTCCCTCATCTTTCTCCTTTAAAAGGACCCAAAGTGGCTTACATCAATTAAAAGACCTTATTAAAAGCTAAACATAGTATACAAATACTGAAAATGGTCAAACAAATACCACATTGAAATATTGAAACAAAAGTTTCAAAACATTGAAACAAAAGTAATACCAAAGGAGTAAGACACTAGAATCCGTTTAAAGACCCCACTCAGTCAGCCAGTCACAGAGGGAAAGCCTGCCTCAAGAGAAAGGTCTTGGCCTGCTTGCAGAAGGACAGCCAAGATGGGAGGCCAGACTGGTTTCCAGTGGCAGGGAGTTCCACAGTCTCTGGGAGCAGCCACAGAGAAGGCCCTCTCCTGTGTCTCCATCAGACAACCCATGAAGGTGTCAGAACCAAGAGAACCCCCTTCTCCTGATGACCTTAACACCTGGGCAGGCTAATTAAGGAAGACACCGTCCTTGAGATAGCTTGGGCTCCAGCCATTGATAGTTTTATAGGTTAGAAGCAGCACTTTGAACTGTGCCCAGAAATGGACAGAAAGCATAACTTTGATTAAATGGGAGCATCTCCTGCCAAATATAGATGTAAAAGTTTATTTATAATTGATTTGGCTTACAAATTTATACTGGTTCTGAGAAGGGAGCAGTGTCACTGCAAGCTGTGGAACTGTCAGGACCCTGGACAGCACATGGGGAAGAAATTGACCACAGTGAGGAGGAAACTGACCACCTTTACCCTTCCAGAAAGAGATGGTCAGTGGTTAAAGTCTTAGGTGTGTCAAGAAACTTGAGCAGCTTTTTGGCAAAGCAACGGATATACTGTGGATGTCAATGCTTATTTTTAGCTCCAACAATTATGGGGAAATCCTCTCCAACATCACTGCATCTTTTTAAAACCCACCTTAATTT